AAAACATTGTCAGTTATAATATGAGCAGGTGAAATAAAAATATTTAATTAATTGTATAAGGGTGAGTATTAAGTGATTAGAACAGTAACCCTTCAATCAGAATGAACACAAGCTTAGACATCTAACCCCAAGTGTTTACCAGCTAACTGTCAACCATAATTTCAAGGAAAAAACAATGGCATTCTAATTACATTTGACTGTAGTTTGCTCTTAAACATTAATTTTAAAATAAAGTAAAAGAAACATAGCCAATCTATGCCTTTGAGGTTTTAACAAAAACATGCCCAAGTGACTGTTTTTGAAAGTTTAAGCTATAGAGGAAGCATTTGGAAAAGTAGATGTTTGGAAAAATTTTCACTGATTCCTGATTTTTTTCCCAGCATTGTTTGTTATATAGAAACACTTTTACATGTACAAGCTTAAAACCAGAATTTTATAACTGAAATGGTGGAAATAATTAAGAAATGAGTATTAGGATCTAATAAACTTAGCTAAAATTCCTTTTTCTGTTTTGGACTTATGTTTTTGAAATATAAAGCTATGATAGTACCTTTCAATAAACTTTTCTGCTCAATCAGTCTATCAGCTTCTGTTTCTTGAAAAAAGCGATCCTATCTAAAAACGCAGTTACCTGGCTACTTATTATATAGGTTTATATACATAACTAATTTATTTCCACTATAAATTGTGCATTCTTTGAGAGGTAACGCCATCTCTTACTCATTGCTTGTAGTCACTTCTTGGACACCTAAAATGCCAGGGCTGGTGCTAAGTGCTTTACAGTCTAGCCTCTGAACAACCTTATGGTCTGGTACTGGTATCATTCTCGTTTCACAAGTGAGAAATTTTAGGTGATTTCCTAAGACCACACAGCAACTAAGAGGCAGTGCTGAGATGTGAGTCCTGACATCCTGGCACAGGGTCGCCATGCTTAATCAGAGCACTATACTGCTAGGCTAAGGACACCTAGCTTTAAATGAAACAGAGTAGCCTCTTTCTTGATACAAGCTGGTAACAAATGAAGGAACAGAAAAACAATTTTAGAAGGATTTCCTCATTGAACTAGATTTATTGTAATTTAATTGAGAAGAAAAGCATACTGCCATTACACTGTAGTTCTAGTTTGTCAAAGAAGTGGCAGCTATGGTTTTTATTACTTCTCAACTGTAGAAAACTCAGATGAAACGTTGGATAACAGCAGGAATTTGTTATCTCATATCTTCCTGAATTACTATCTAGAGAACAAAATGCTACAGGTGACTTTTTTAAAATTGATGGGGACTGAAATGTTTCTTTTGGGTTTAAAAAGAAAAGGCAGATCTAGAGAAAAGGAAAAGACATAGATTGACAAGATTTCATACCTCAAAGGAGAAAGGAAATAGAAACTTAACATTTAGAAAACAAAAAGGAGAATGAAAATGAAAGTTATCAGAGGAAGCTTGACAGAGTAAAACATCTATTCAAACAAAAAGCAGAAAATAAACTAAATCACAATGCAAAATTATAGATAAAAAAGACACACTTTGAGAGACTGTGGCTTGGCTTCCCCCGGCCCCCCCCCCCCGCCCTCAATCTCTTTCTTCCAGAAGGGGTCATATCAAGATTATGGAAGAGTCCTAAAAAAGAAGTTCCTTTCTACTTTCCTTCTGGTGTTCTCACTCACGCTCAGTCTTCATCATTCAATCCTCATCCAGCAAAGTGACTCTTCCTGGAGAGTAAATATGAATTATTATTGATAGATATTATGGAATGCTAATGGTGAGAATTAGAGGAGGGTGTCTCTATGGAAAATCAGCTGGCGAAACTATAATGTACATTATTATCTAGGTCTTACATCAGGAACAAGAGAAGAGTGCCCACTTTCACCACTCATATTCAACATTCAACTGGAGGTTCTGGCGAGAGCAATCAGGCAAGAAAAAGAAATAAAAGGTATCCGAATTGGACAAAAAGAAGTAAAAATGTCTCTATTTGTAGATGACATGATTTCATACAGAGAAAATCCTAAGGACTCCATCAAAAACCTGTTAGATCTAATCAGCTAATTCAGTTAAGTTGTAGGATACGAAATCAATATACAAAAATCAGTACCACTTCTATACACTAACAAATTATCTGAAAAGGAAATAAAACAATCCCATTTATGATGGGATTATCAAACACAACAAAATACTTAGGAATGGATCTTACCATAGTTCTCATAGCATTTGTTCTCCACTGGAACATTGCCTATTTTCTAGTTATTATTTGGTATCTGTCTTACCACTCCCATTAGAATGTAAACTCCATAAAAATAGAAGTTTTGTTCAGTTTTATTAACTATACAAGAGCAGCACTGATCATATCGCAGGTACTTAATAAATATTTTTAAATGATTGCATGAATGAATGACATAATCTGAACACCAAACATGTAAGCTTCTACTTTTGACCCTCTGTCATCCAAACAGCAATTCTATGGTGTTAAGATGATGACATTATTTCCCCATATTTAGCCATCAATTCCTTTGTATCCTCCAGTGTTTGAAGGTCAAGGACAGAAGAATGGGTATCAGGGGACAGAATGATTTTTGGTTGGTTGGTTGGTTTTGTTTTAATGTACTGAATGAAACTTGCCAGCACCTGAAGGGCAGGGGCGGAGGGAATTTCTTGGAATAGTCCTAAAAGGTATCTTCATAGACCCAATAAGAAAAAGTGATATATTGAATACTTTTGCAGAAACATCTAATTTAATCTCTTTTTTTAAGATTTATTTTGAGAGAGAGAGAGATGGGCAGAGGGAGAGGAGAGAGAATCTCAAGCCGACTCCCTGCTGAGCACAGAGCTGGACGTGAGGCTTGATCTCACAACCCATGAAATCATGACCTTAGCTGAAATCAAGAGTCGGACACGTAACTGACTGAGCCACCCAGGTTCCCCTTAATCTCTCTCTTTTTTTTTTTTAGGTACAAGGTCAAATCCCAAAGTTAAGTAAATACATAGTAGTATTTTATGAAGAAACGGAAAAGAATAATATGAAGCAGGTCTACCTGCAGGGCCAACGTTTTATTTCACTTCAGTAACTTTCACTATGTGTTTGATGTTAGACCAACTGCTAAGGTCAAAGCAAAACAAATTCCCATTGGGGGTAATCAGCAAGGACCTACTGGTTAGGACCTACTGTTTGTATTGTACTGGTTAGTGTGTAAATATGCCCTCTCTTCAAGCAGCTTACAATCCTACAGGAAAGAAAAAAACTTAGCTACACAATATAATTAGAGCATAAAATAAGACGAGATGCTGTAAAGAGCTCAACTGAATATTTTGTATGCCTCTGATAAAAACAAGGACTCTGTATTTCTCTTATCCAGTCCAAAGCAGCACCAGGCGTTCCTGTCCTATCTAAACTTCACCGAACGCGCTTTGCTACGAGATTACTTTTCCTAAATGTATCTTTTTAATGGCTTAACTGACCCCTCCATCCTTCATATAATTCTAGACCATGAGGTTCTCAGGGTGAAGCATACACACTACTACCCACAGTTCCCCCTGGCTGCAGAATGTGAGTAGCAACCTGAAGGACTCACTTTTATGTGGCTTCTGTACTGAATGGAAGCTGCCATTTTTCAGTGTGGGTGTCTTTTTTTCCCTCATGACATAGACAAATGTTGATGTTTACTACAAGTTGGTACATTAGTTGCTAATTAAGTTCCTCACTGCTTCAGCCAAAACTTTCTGTATTGAATCCAAGAAAAGAATGGCAGCTATATCAAAAATAAGTTGTTGGGGATTTTGTTTTGTTTTATTAAAGGAAAGTTGTATATTAAAGAATATGGGGAACTTACAGGCTGGGAGATAGAAAACCTTCATTCTTGGCTTCCTCTTAAGCTGAGCTGGTAGTTAAAGTCCCTCTGCATCTGTCGCCAGACCCTGGTCAAAGCCAAATAAATACTACAATTTACGCATCAGGCAGTCAAATAAACCGTTTATCATTATTCACTTTTTCATACCCACAAATTCTCAGAAGAAAAAGCTGGTTTGGGGGAACCTACAGGAAGTCAGGTTTATTCTAGAGAGGGTGCAAAGGTCATTCATCCTGGGGCTCCGAGTTCACACCTCTCTGGAAAGATGTCTTCTTGGCTTTATTTTCTCCAGGTGCCCCCTGCAGTCTTACCGTCATACCTCCGGACAGGGGGGCTGGCGGTGGGGCAGAACCTACCTGTAGTCACCAGCTAAGGGTAACCCCTTCCTGCTGGCGTCAGGGTCTGTGGCAGTTTCTCTTCACTTCTGGACCGGGAAGTCCCGAGTCACGCGCTTTCAAGCCCTCCACATTTTCGCTGACGGAGGTAATGCAAGACGGCTGTGGGAAAGAAGTCTGATTTGTGAGGCAGAACCCCGCAAAAAAAAAAAAAAAAAAAAAAAATCAAAATACCTGCAGGAGGAGTATTGTTGGATCGCTGCTTTCCGAATTCGCTTTCCTTTTCCGTTTCCCACAGTGCCTGCCACGGAAAGACGGTCCCTGCCAGAGCCGATCGAAGGGTGTCTCCTGCTCTGGGAAACGTACACTCCCCGCCCCGGCGGATTACGTCTGGAAAGGCCTGAGGGAGACGGAAAGAATCGAAACAGAAACCCAAGTCCGGCAAACTACAAGAACTGCCTTGCGGAAAGCGGGGCTCAGATCTCCCACCGGAGTCGGCAGAGACGGCGTCTTGGTCTCCGGCGAGGGCGAGCGCAGCCGAGTCGGAGGGGTCGCGCCTGCCCGTCCGCCCGCCGCCCGCAGCTTCTCGCCGCCTCGTCCCCGGGCCGGCGCGCCCCGCCACCTGACCACCCGCCCCCTGCCCAGGTGCGACCCACCGAGCCCCCAGGCGCCGCCCTGGGGGTCCTGCGGACCACGCGCTCTGTCGGGCACAGCGCTGCGGACCCTGCGGGCTTCCACGCCGACCGCGGGACACACGGCTCACCTGTTGAGCAGAGAACAGCAAGCTGTCGGTCTGTTAGGGAGAATCCTCTCCCTTTGCTGAGCACGAACGAAAGATGTCGAATGGCTACTCTGCAGACAAGAGTTTCTGCTATCTCATCTCGTGTTTCAGGGCCAGACTGAAAACGTACATCCAGGTGGAGCCGGTACTGGACTACCTGAACTTTCTGCCCGATGAGGTGAAGGAGCAGATTCAGAGGACGGCCATCAACGCTGGGAGCATGCAGGCAGCTGATCAACTTCTGAGCACTTTGGAGAAGGGAGGCTGGCCCCCTGGCTGGACCAGACAATTTCTGGTGGCTCTTCAGAGAGCAGGCAGCGTTTTAGCCGCCCGCTACCTGAACCCAGAGCTCACCGACTTGCCCTCTCCATCCTCTGAGAACGTTCATGACGAGTGTCTCCAACTAATGAACCTCCTCCAGCCCACCCTGGTGGACAAACTTCTGGTTAGAGATATCTTGGATAAGTGTGTGGAGAAGGAACTCTTGACAAACGAAGACAGAAATCGGGTAGGTGTCAGTTCAGACGGAGACAGATTTTGTAACTCGGGGTTGCTCCTTCCTTTGTCCCACTCCAAATGTTCTTTGACGTCTCTGGGTAAATTTGGTTCTCTCCTTTCTTGAGAAGAGAATAGTTAGGCACTTAACAACATAATTTTGAGAACTGGAATATAACAAAAGCTCTTTTTCTAATCCTTTCACTAAAATAAGCCAAAAGAGGTGTTACCTCCAAAATAGTAATGTGTACTAATAGATAACATTTATTGAGCACTTACTATAGATACTTAGTATCATTTGCAAAACTTATGATCAGAGTTCATGCTCCCAATAATGCATTAAGATTTTTAAGGTTATTAACGTTGTTTTACAGAGGGGAAAACTGAGGTAGGTTATGTAACTTGCCCCAGGTGTCCTGGATTTAGGTCCTGGTGGTGTGTAATTTTATGCCTTACTTTATATAGTTTGATAGAACGAGTATCAGCAAACCATGACCCATGGGCTAAGTCCAGCCTATTACTGGTTTTTGCAGGCCCAAACACTAAGAATGGTTTTTAGATTTTTAAATTTTCAGTGCTCATAAAGAAAGTTTTATTGGAACAGAGCCATGCTCATTCATTTAAATGATATAACTGCTTTCGCACTTTAAGAGCAGTTGAACAGAGACCATACAACCCACAGAGCTAACAGTATTTATTATCTGGACTTCACAGAAAAAACTGCCAATCTCTGGCCTATATTATACGTTATACCATTTGATCTTGGTCCAAATGCAGAAAGTACATTGCACACACACTTTTTTTTCTTTAATCAAAGTTATGACATTCTCTGGGAATTAAAAGTTGCAGATAATTCATTGAAAAAAAGTATGTTGCCAACTGTAGTTTTTCATATTAGCAAAGGAGTAGTGGATTTTTTAGGTGGCATTTTGACAGGGTGAATTTTACAAGGCATTTTACACTTAATGTAATGTTTCATTGTTCATTGTTTTTTAAAATTTTTTATTGTTATGTTAATCACCATACATTACATCATTAGTTTTTGATGTAGTGTTCCATGATTCATTGTTTGTGCATAACACCCAGTGCTCCATGCAGAACGTGCCCTCCTTAATACCCATCACAGACTAACCCATTCTCCCAATCCCCTCCCCTCAAGAACGAGTCCATCGTCTCTCATGGTTCGTCTCCCCCTCCGATTTACCCCCTTCACTCTTTCCCCTCCTGCTATCTTCTTCTTTTTTTTTTCTTAACATATATTGCATTATTTGTTTCAGAGGTACAGTTAATTGTTTTTTATTGAACAAGGATATACTGTGAAGTATAGAAACGCTGACCTATTTGAACATGACTTATTCAAGTTTGTAAGTAAATAAGAATCTTATTTTGAAAGGCGTGTAGGCAAATAAACAAACCCATGAGTAAAAGTCCAAGGCTTTGTCTAACATGCTATGATTCTGACATTTTCTTTTTCTTCCTTTTCTTTCTTTCTTCCTTTCTTCCTTTGTTTTGGATTCACCAGTTGTTTGTATCTTCATTACAAAGTTCTGGACGCTGGCCTCACATTAGCCTATGATGTAACTTGGTCTTTAGTGAGTAAAGTTAATAGACCTTTGTAGACTTGACAGCCATAGGGCTGTCCAAAGACCCAAGCATGCATCTAATTTTGATGGCTGGTTTTCCCAACAAGTAAATTACTTTACACTGTTGTCTGTAACGTTTATGTAGTTTTGTGTATTGAGAACCAGCTAGAACGCATTATAGTAGTCCAGCTGGATATGACAAATGTGTACATCACTGTGGCAGAATCTTAATTTGGAAGACAGTATGCAGCCTTCAAGCCAGCTGGAGATGGAAGATGGCATTTCCAGCCACAGTAGCTGTTAGGAAGTCCAGAAGCAACAGAGTCCAGTAACACCACAAAGCTGTTTATGTTTGGTGGGTATGATGTCCCGATTGCCAACGAAACAGCACTTCTCCTTATTTACTCTAAATACTTCTGCCTATCAGCATCACTTTTGTCTTGCCTGGATTGAATTTCCGCCAGCTAGAATTTATCCAAGTTCTTGATTCTGGCAAGCTTGGAGGCAGCTAGCAGTAATGCAAGGGATTTGACACAAAGAAGATGTAGAGTAAAGGGGCATTTATGTACTGGGTAGCAGTTAAAGCCAAAGCAACCGAAACTCTCCCTCAAATTCATATTTCAAAAGAGCCTCTGAAAGATGGAGGAGCTATGCATTTGAAGCTTTCTGAGGAGGAATAGTGTCTCTGTGAGATTCTGGAATCATGTCTACACGTCATTTTACATGTGTCATCAGACAATGGAAAAATAAGCTATTGGAAAGAAGCACTAGGTATAGAAGAATCTATATTGATATGGGGGTCATTGATGAATATTTATCTCAAAGTAGCAAATCGTACTGGGGGAAAACATGAGAATTTGGAATGGGAAAACCTGGATTTGAGATCTGTGTTTGTTTCTTACTCTATGTGTTACTTTGGGTCAAGTTATTTAAGTTCCTTGATCCTAAATTTACCCATGAAAATGGACATAATGTCTCCTCTCACTCATGGTACTTTAGTGAATACAAATGAGAAATCATGTTTATGAAAAAGCTTTCTAATGAATAATAATAGTAAAGAGCTGTTTTGATATGATGATGATGATGAATTTTATCATCATTCATTTGGTTACCTTTCCTTGTGAATTTAAAGTTTCAGAAATTTAGGTTAATCAACCACGTTGAAACTGAGATCTTCTTAAAGCCCCTGGATTAAACTGTGATTCCAAGGAAAAACTATGTCTTTCATCTTTAGAAACCTAGCCAGGACTAGGTATAGAACTGGTACTTAAAAAGTATTAACTGCCTGATTGAATTTACTTCCAAAAGTTGTCTGGGATAAAGGATAAGAATGCATGATGTCATGGATTGCCCTGCCAGGCATTTGGAAATGGATGGATGATGGACATAAGATCTCCAAATCTGCTTTTTTGACCGCCTAAAGTAATATTTGAATAAGAAGTTAGGGCTTCAAAAATTTTTTTATTTTAATTATTTTCCTGTTTTCTTTTTTTTAAAAGATTTTATTTATTTATTTTGACAGAGAGAGAGACAGCGAGAGAGGGAACACAAGCAGGGGGAGTGGGAGAGGGAGAAGCAGGCTTCCCACCAAGCAGGGAGCCCGATGCGGGGCTCAATCCCGGGACCCTGGGATCATGACCTGAAGGCAGACATTTAACGACTGAGCCACCCAGGTGCCCCTTTCCTGTTTTCTAGTAGACATTTTCTACTTGGTCTGTCATTTTAGTTTATTATTCTTATGTCCATCCCTGGAACCCCTGCCCTTCATACATCAGAGCCTCCAGAAATTATCCTAGATTTAGTTTTGTGTCCAGTAAGTACCCAAAAAAACGTCTTTAATGGATTGACTATTCATTCATTTGGTTTAAATTTATGGAGTGACATCTTGTGGCAAACATCATGCCAGTGGTAAAAAGACTGGATAATAATGCCAATACTGTCTGTGCTTTCATGGAGCTTATGTTGTAGTGTCGATTCATTCTTCTAATAAATAGTTAATGTCTAGTGTATGCAAGGCACTATTATAAATCCTGAAGAGTCAACGATAAATAGAAGAATCATGTTATAGATCATTATAATATAATGATCCCTAATAGAAAGGGGCTGCCCTTGGACTGACCTGCTTTTATTTTAGGACGCTTAGTGACCTCTTGGCGCATCCATTGACTTAAGACAGCCATGAACTCTGGAAAAGAGATGACCATATAAACATTTCCATAGTTACTTAATATCAGTCTGAACAGCTGAAGAGAGGTTCTTGTTTCAGTCCTGGCCACTTCAAAACATTAAACATCCAGAGTCCAAGAAGACCCCATATACCTTTCATTTACATAGGAGAACCAGAGATAGTTTGTTCGGTCCAGCTAGAAACCAAGTCCAGTTGTCCTTACATGAAGCTGAGAAGCTGAGTCAGTCTCCCCCAGCTCATTGTATTGTCAGGTAAGTTAGTAGGTATAAGAATTTTATTAGCAAGAAAAAGTACTAGTAAGAAATCAGTTATGTCAGTGTGTTGATACGTATTCATTTAGAAACACATTAACTTTTTATGGGGAACTAGTTTTTTTTCCTCTCTCTCTAAAAAATTTATTTTTTTAATTTAAAGTCAATTAATTAACATATATTATTGGTTTCAAAGGTAGAGTTCAGTGATTCATCAGTCTTATATAACACCCAGTGCTCATTCCATCATGTGCCCTCCCTAATGCCCATCACCCAGCTACCCCTTCCCCCCCACCCCTCCCCTCCAGCAACCCTCAGTTTATTTCCTATGATTAAGAGTCTCTTATGGTTTGTCCCCCTCTCCGATTTCATCTTGTTTTATTTTTTCTTCTCTTCCTATGAGGAACTAGTTTTTAAAAATTCTTTCTTTTTAACATGAGTTTCGCTTCCTGAGTTAACCGGGATGAGAGCTGAGCTCTGCTGCGTTAAAAAAAAAAATCACCATTATATTTAAATAGTTATCTAAGGTTTTTATGAAGGAATGAAAACATTTTTATCAAGCAATTTTGTTGGCAAACCAGTGCTTAATGGAAATATCATTGCTTTCTCTACTGATTTCTGTTGGAAAGAAAAACACAGATCAAAGAATTTAGAATGTGAAAGCATGTAATTGTATTACCCACAAATTCATATTTATTTTGTATTCCATAAATTAACAATGTATCATAACTATTTTAAACTGCATATTTAGAGAAAATATTCAGTGAGGGAGGAACATGAGTGAGAATCATTATATGTCCTGTTGAAATCTCAGGTCTAAATACTCATCTCTCAAGAATTTCCATAATCAAGTTTAATAACAGGATCTAATGTCTCTAGTATGTTTTAGGAGAACAGATTAAGTTAAAAAATGTATATATATATATATATATATACATATAATATAGCTACATATATATGGCTGTTTCAAAGGTACTTTCTAACACTCAAATTCAGAAGACTTCTTAAAAATTCAGAATCTTGATGAAGCTGCTAAAATTGCAGTGGTGTTCTATGTAGTTCCACTATTCAAATAATAAAAATACTCATAGGAAATAATGACATAATGATCTTCAAATGCCTGAACACAGTAAGGACAAAGCAAGCTTGACAAATGTAATTTTACAGTTAAAATCAACTTAACTGATTAATAGTGGACGGAAGTTTAATGCCTATAATATAATTAGGTTTTTAGTGAGAATATTCATTACAGTGTATCACTTACTCTTTTTAGAGAAATGCTTTCTGATTACTTCTGTCAGATGGATTTAAAGGTGATTAAAGAGTAAGGTAATTAAAAATAGAAATGGTTGAGTTAAAAGAAGGTGCTCAAACCAGTCTTACTAAACATCTTTAGCAACTAGGGTTTAAGTTAGCAGATAATAATAAAGATACTACAAACACCGGAGAAGACAAAAAGTTTCCATTAGGAGATTAATGAAGTTAAACAAAAGGTAAGAAATGAGCGAGAATCTGCTTAGAAAATGCTGTGAGAGAGATAGACTGAAATCACCTAAATTTTATTAAGTCCAGTAGTCATCTTATCCACTTCTTGTCAGAAAATGTGCTTAAGATTGTAGACAATTGGTAGCTATAATTATAGCTCAGGAAGGCAGTATTTGGCCTCTGAAGTCAATTGCCTGGGATGAAATTCTCCCTTTGCCATTTACTAGCTTTGTGGCTTCAGGAAGGTAACTGGAATTCTGTGTGCCTTGGATTTCTGGTCTGCGAAGTGGGTTAATATTAGTTCCTTCTTCAGGGTTTCTGGGTTAATAGGTGCAAAGCCTTTATAATAACATTATTAAGTATTATCTAGTAAGACAAACATACCCACTGGGTAGAAATCATGCTGCATACTTCTGTACTAAGTAGTGTCCACTGGTGCAGTGTTTATAAAGATAGATGCTTTCTTCAGTCATCCACGATAATGACTAACACTAAATTTGTGTCAGACACTGTTCCAAAAATGCAAACAAATACCTGACACTAAAAAGTTATAGGATATATTTATAGGACTAGAAAATGCACAAATTTAATAGGAAACAATTAATCTAGCTAATCAACCCAGATTATACATGTAGGAGGTGGACGAATGTTCAGAAGGGCCTTTGAGAGGAGGTTAAGTCGGTATTTCTCAACTAAGCTGCTGATTGGAATCATGAGATCCTTAAAAAAATTCTGGCTTCCCAACACAGACAAAATAAGTCAGAATCCTCGGGGGTAGATCCCAGACATGAGTGTTTTTAAATCTCCCCAGGTGTGCCTAATGTGCAGGTAGAGTGGAAAAGCCCTGAAATTTCCTTTCAATTGCCTCATTTTGCACATGCGTAAGTCAAAGCCCAGAGGGATGAAGCCTATCCCAAAGGCACAGCAGGCTGATGATACCCTGTCTCATTTCTTTCTGGTCTAAATGTGGCTTGTATTGGTCTTTTCTCCCAATGTTTGGTGCTGTATTAAGAACTGGGAAATGCACTGTGATAATGATTACACAAATGATCCACATTTAAAATGATTTGTTAGTTTAATCTAAAAGAGAAGTCAAAGGAAGACTAAAAGTTGTAATGAATAGATACAGAAATAATTCTGCCCCATACTTTAAGGAATATATGTAGAAATAAATTAGTCTCATAATATTAAATAAACACAAATTTAGGAAAATATTATAGTCATTAATACATATTGCAAATACTAAGTAAACAAGAATATAAATCTCTTGATAGTAATTACTTAATAGTAGTGATAGTCAAGAAAGAGGAGTCAGGTAAGAAATAATTGGCTTCCTATTTATAGACTCCATGGTTTGAAAAGAAATAGCAAATCCTAGATATACGGAAAGAAATTGATGCAAATAAACCTAACAGAACTAGAAATGAAAGACGTTTTCTTTTGTCCCCCTTATTCAGAATGGCCAAGGTAGAACCTTTATTCCCTAAGTGTAAGTTTTGAACATCATAGTGGCTTTAAAAAATGGTTCATATTTAAAAGGGGGCTTGGCTCAAAGATTTGTCCCCGCTACAATCCAGAATTACTGTAAGTGACATTGTTCTTTTCTTTGGTGGTTGGACATAAGCCTTTACTAATACTTACTATGCTTAATTGCTCATTTTTTAAAAAGGCTAGTTCCTGTTTAAAATTGTTCAGAAGATGTGTGATCTTTTTAATTCTGCTTTTCTCTTAAAACAGATTTCTGCTGCAGAAAGCAATGGAAATGAATCAGGTGTAAGAGAGCTACTGAAAAGGATTGTGCAGAAAGAAAACTGGTTTTCTGCATTTCTGATTGTTCTGCATCAAACGGAAAACCACGCCCTTATCCAAGAGCTAACAGGCACCCCTTGCTTTGAAAGCAATGCAGGTATATCTAATTCTACTAAAAAAGAGTTTGTACATTTTCCCTAGTGATTGAAAGTTTAATGAAGCCTGTAGACACAATGCCAAACACTAAGATATCGAGAATCAAAATTTCAAAATTGGAAGCAATTTGAGAAATCATCTATTTTTTTTTCCCCTTTACAAATGAGGAAACTGTTGCATGGGAAAAGATTAACTTACCAAAGATCATAAAACTCAGCAAACTGGACTATTGGCAGCTTTATTTATTGGCAGCTTTATATATTTATATATTGGCAGCTTTATATATTTATGCAGCTGCCAAATATTGGCAGCTATATTGGCAGCTGACCCCTAGTCTAATATTCCTTCCACTACTCATCTTACATTGAAGACAAGATGATTATCTAAAATTTTTATCAAAATAATTTATACATTGATTAGATAACCAATAAATAGGAAGAAAATATTTTAGTGGTTATTATACCTGTGCTGCTAGTTTTCTGGCCATCTATATCAATTTTTAAGGAATTTATTAAACATTTGATAAAAGGTCTGTAATTACCAACATATCTCAATATTACTTCCTGTGAGATTTTTGTTGTTGTTGTTCCTTCAATTATAATAATAAAAGTAACATTTTAGAGCCTTTTCACATATATGATTTGTAAATCTAATATAAACTGCCATCTTATTTTTCTTTTCAGGGTGTGTATCTTGTGGTTTCAAAAATCTCATATGTAAGACAAATTGAAAGTTAATTGGTAATAACATGATTTAAGTACATTACAGTCACTTCAAGCTTACTCCACTTCTATTCATCCAGCCATCCCATCATTCATTCAACAAACAACGTGTGATGAGTGCCACACACACTGTTGCAAATGCTGCAAATATGGACTTAAATGAGACACACAAAGTCCCTATTGCCACATACCACTTTCTAATGGAAGAAGATACCCAGTAAACACTTTTCTAAGTTGCTTTTGCAAAATAAAAAGTTACTAAGTTATTAAAATAAATAGCACGTTATTTTTTATTCTGTTATTTATGAAATAGGTTAATTTTGCCCAGTAGTTAGAAATACACACACACACACACACACATATCTGTGTATATATATGCATATACAGAAACAGACAGACAGACAGACAGACACACACACACACACACACACACACACACACACACACACACACACCCCATGACGAGTTCCCTTTCAGGACCTCATGGAACCATTTCCATCCATGACAAACATTCAAGGGCTCAAATTTCAAAGAGAAAATGCACAAATTTAATAGGAAACAATTAATCTAGCTCATCAACCCAGATTATATTTTGTTGTTGTTGTTGTTGTTATTCCCTGAGAAATTTTGATTTCAGTGTAATAAGAAATATTAGAAAGGTGACCTTTCAGGTCACAAGACCTTGTCATATCCATCCCTCAAATTCGAGGGTACCTATCCATGTTATAGTTGTGTACAGTGGCACACTTGTTTAGGATGGAGTCTAGAAGATCTGCTCCAAAGTGTCTTCTAGATTCTCCTGACATATACAACATGTATGGCCATATTTCCTTCTACTATATGTATATATATTTGAAGGATTTTTATTCATTTGTTTGAGAGAGAAAGAGAGAGCAATTGGGGGTGAGGAGCATGGGGAAGAAGAGGGAAAGCAGACTCCGTGCTGAGCACAGAGCCCCATGCAGCTGGATCCCAGGACCCGGAGATCATGATCATGACCTGAGTGGAAACCAAGAGTTGCTCAACCCACTGAGCCACCCAGACACCCCTCTTTCTAAAATATTTTTAAATTCTTCTTCACCAGATGCTTTGCTAGAAGTTTTGTTTGTTTGTTTGTTTGTTTTAGCAGGCTCCATTGGACTCCAGCAAGGAGTCCAATGCAGGGCTCCGACTCAGCACCCTGAGATCAAGACCTGAGCCAAGGTCAAGAGTCGGACACTTAGCCAACTGAGCCACGCAGTCGCCTCTAGAAGTTTAATGTAATTCTAAAAATTGTAATTCTTTGAGCAAGAGCAATGTAGGTAGTGTAAGCATAGTAAATCCCAGGTAATACCTACATTGTAACACACTCATCACATACCTCTAGTACTTTCATGCTTTCCTCTTCACTTTCTTTACTGTATGCCATAAATTTATTAGGTCTTTATGTTTTTGAATGGCTTAGGGACTAGTTTATCCACATGTTCCCTAGCCCACACACATAGCCTGGCTGGCCAAGGCCAGGCACTTTATAAAAGGGGGAAAGGCCTTGTGGAAAGAAAAACAGGGGCACCAATTGTCCAAACCCCTCTCTTGTTCCGTAGCAGGGTCCTCTCATGGTTGGGGCTTCTCCCTCATTCTACCAAAGGGAGTGATCATGGGCATTGACTCAGATACGAGGGCTTCTCTGATGGCAAGGAGCAGAGTGGAAAGGGGTCTCTGAGCTTCCTTTGAGGATTGGAAGAAAAACTCCAATCCCTGGCTGGGGCAACATCTGTGGACTCCCCACCACCCCTACCTGCAGACAGGTTGCTCCTGACCCACTCATTCCAAAAAGCAGGGCTTATTTTTTCATTTCTTCAGAAAATCTAACCAGAGGGATTGGGATTTAAATTTTGTTGGCTGAACTATACCTCTTTTTATGAGAATCTAAGAATTTTTCTGGTGGGTTTTAATGACCAGAATAAAGTTAGCTATGATTATTCTTGTGATTAGGAGTTACTATGGACTAAGTTGTGTTTACCCAAAATTCATATGTTGAAGCCCTAATATCTACTGTGACTGTTTCTGGGGGATAGGGCCTCCAAGGAGATAATTAAGGTGAAATGAGGTCGGAAGGGTGAGCCCTAATCTGATAGGACTGTGGCTTTATAAGAAGAGGAAGAGATCTCTGTCTCTCTCTTCACCATGTGAGGACACAATGAGAAGGTGGCCTTCTGTACCCTCGAAGAGCGCTCTTACCAGACACCAATCCTGCTGGCACATTGATCGGGAACTTCCGATCTCCAGCACTATGAGAAAATCAAATTCTCTTGCTTGAGTTATTCCGTCTATGGTATTTTGTTACTGTGGCCTGAGCTGACTGATAGAGGAGCCTAGGCTCTGGATCCTGATGCTTATTGAATCCTGGCTCTTTTACTTCCCTGGATGTGTAGCTTTGAGCAGGCACTTGCCCTCTCTGTGCCTCTCTGTTACTCCTCTGTGAACTGGGGAAAATAATATTCCCTATTACCTAGGGCTCTTTGGAGAATTAAGTGATTCAGCATTTCCATAGCACTTATATGGTAAGCGCAAAATAAATGGACCATTCTGATTACAAACCCCAAACATACTTAATGTGTACCTGCAAACATTGTCAAGTCATTTTGCCCAACAACAGAGTCCAAAGTCACAATTTTCTTTGGGAAATTCTCCATATGCAGGACATACTTTTCCTTTATTCTTTAGGATGGGTTAATCCACAATGATACTTTAAGAAACTTTATTTAGGGAATCAGTCTCCTCTGATAGATGAAAGCTTCAGGAGGACAGAAACTCTTATTTTTCTTTGTAACCCACATAGTCCCTTAAGAAAACATTCAATACTTGTTGGTTGAAGGAAGAAAGGCTGATGGGAGAAATGGAGGGAAGGGGAAGGGAAGGATGCAGAATATTTTATGGAATTCCTAAAAAATCTCCAGATATTCAAAATACATGAATTTAGGCTGACATTAAAGCATATGTACATCTCATGTAGAACGCACAGCGAGGGAACAAAATGGCAAGAGCGCAAGCTAAAGAAAAACCACCACCAAATTTGCATTTTCATAATTCAGCCTTAAATATAACTTTGTGTCACTAAATTAGTGCCTTACTTCCTACCAGTAATGGTCAGGTAGGAAATCATCAGACTGTTTTTGTGATTACCATGATACTTAGATAACATCTTTTTAGATAAAATGTAATCATTACAAAAGAATTACTCACTGTGTCCATATTAAAAAATAGAAATACTGTATCATAACAAAAACTATGTTCCTAGCATTTCAAAATGTCAAAGTACAAAAGTATATTGAGGCAGATTTCTACTGGGAACTTCCATTTGGTTTTCAAAATAATAATACTATCTATTGATATTGTGTAAAAACTTGCATGAACGATTTACATTCTGTTTAGGATTTCAAAATACTTCAATATATTCCGGTAAATGTCCATTAGGAACTCCTGTTTCATTTTCAGAATAGCAACTGCAGTGATTCAGACTCTACACAAGTTTGCACTGCACTACTGCTTACCTTCTAATGCTTTATTCACAGAGACTGAGAACTTATCCCAAGAAGGTGGCCCTGACATTCAAGAGGCAGTTCTTTTAGCCACAGGTCAGCCAGGTCCAGAGAGAGAGGGCTGGGACAAGGAGAGTGATTCGCTGGAATCGTCTTTGGTAGAGTCTTCTGCTGTTTCAGGTATTTGGAACCTGCACATAGTGTCCATATTTTGCTAATTGCCACTTCCTGAAAAATCAGTTGGTGCATTGGTGACGTCGGGATCTGTGAAACACAGGGAGAAAATTTGGGCCTTGGGGTTTTGTGAGCATTCTTATTAAAATTCATATTTCTAGAAACGTTTAAATTAAAAGAATTCTTTGTGGCTAAAAATGTTTTTCAAAACTAATGCAATACTAATATGTTATGAATAGGAACACATTTGGTTCTAATTTTACTTTATAAGAAGATACCCATGGTCTTTGTGATGTGATAAGTATTATAAGCATACCCTATATTTCATAGTTTTCAAAGTACCTTCAAATATATGAATTAGTTTGATTCATCCCAAGCTCCGAGGATTAAAAAGGCCATTCGTTATCTTTTCTTTATTTTATAGACTGGCATGTCTCAGGGAGGTTCAGCTGGGTTGTAGAGACCAGAAGCAAGTCTGTAGCAAAGAGGATGACAGGTGCTAAACTGGGGTTGGCTTGATTTGCAGTAACTAAGTGGTGAGCAAACTATTTACCACCATGACCACCTTTTTTGATACAAAACATTCCTGGAAGGATCAAACTAATTTAATCACATTCCCCTCCCTAATTTACTGGATAGGAAAATCCTCTCTTCTTCTCTCCCCACCAAAGGGCCACATTCTATTTTCGCAAGAAATAGTCATTTAAAAGAAACAATTTTTTAAAAATCTGTGCTGTGCTGGTAAATGTTTAAGAAGTAACTCTACAGGGGAAAGAAAGGAGGTACTGAGCTGTAGCATTTGCCAGCCTTCAGGATGCAAATGCTCCCACTGAAGCTGATGTCAAACCTCCAACCTGATGTCCCTGAGTTGGAAAGAGAGAAGCACTAGGTCACCATTGTGTTAGCATTTCTGCTATGCAGATACAGTGGGCATTAACAGCCTCAATGACAGAGATAATAGCAAAATCCAGAAACACGATTAGGAAGTGATGAGTTTGAGTATTCATTACCTATGCTTTCATATAATTTATCTAACTATAGATCAATATGATTTAATTTTTAAAATGGATGTGTTTAACCTGCTCACAAATTCCTGAAAATCTAACAATTGGCTTTTGTGAGCCGATAGAAGCTGACTCCATCACACCACTGCAAAGTTTACTACTTTCTTCTCTCCCCTTTTTTTTTTTAAAGTCATCTCTACCTCCAGTGTGGGGCTCAAACTCACAACCCTGAGATCAAGAGTCACATGCTCCACTGACTGAGCCAGCCAGGCGCTTCCAAAGTTTACCATTTTCTACTCAGAAAAGTAGTGTAGCTGCATTGAAGGAAATTTGGAAAATGTGAAAACATACAAAGAAAAAGTCACCCATCCTCCCACAATGTAGATATATTACTCTTAACATTTGGGTATCTATCCTTCTGCTCTTTTTACATAAGTGGATGTTTATACACAACGGCATATCTCCTGTGTTTGTTAGATAGTCTTCTATAGCATGGTTTTTAATGACTTAATAATAGTTCCATCCATTGGATGCTTTATAATTAATAAATCAATCGTTAAATATTTAGGATGTTTAAAAATTTCTACATTGTGAATAACTCTCTTCATATCTATGTTTCAGTTTAATTCTCAAAAACATATTACATAATTGGAACTTCTGGATCCAATGATGTTTACAATCTTAAGACATTTGATACTTAATGTCAAATTTCACTCCAGAAACTTGTACCAATTTAGGTGTCCTTTAGTAGTATAAGAGAGTGCCTATTGCCCTAAAGTCTCTTCCACAAGAACAGGTATTTCTACAAAATATCATTATTTTCAAGCCTTGCCAGTTTGGTATTTTGCTATTTCAATTTTATTTTTTTGATTTCTGGTGGAAAACCCTTTTATAAGTTTATTCTGTTTGTTGTTGTTACTAATTCCCTATCTATTTTTCTATTAGGGTGTTTATATTCTTCCTGCTGATTTATGTGAAGTATTTAAATATATAGGATAGCAATCCTTTGTTATAAATAGTCCCAATATGTTTTATAGTTTGCCAGTTATTCAGGCTTGTGCCTCATTTTTTTGTTTGTTTGTTTGTTTGTTTTATGCAGTGCTTCTGCTGCTTTACTGTGTATATGAATCATCGAGAGGAGTGGGTCTTACTGAAATGCATTCTGATTCAGTAGGTCCTGTGTGGAGGCTGAGATTCTGCCTTTCTCACGGGCTCCCAGGTGATGCTGTATTGCTGGTCCTGGACCACACTTTAAGGAGTGAGGTTTAATATATAGAATAGCAAAAAACCTGAATTCCAGAGGATTTTTTTTTCATTTGAGCAGCTACGCTTTCTTTCAGAAATCATGATCTTATAGGAATGCCAAAATCACTATCTGAATGTGGATTTGTCACATTTTAATAATTTTCCTTGGTAGGACACCTGACATCTCTGTGGGGTTACTGGCTGTTTTCTAAATCCACACTAGAAAGAACTGAAGACAGGACTGAGGCTGGAAGATGATCCTGTATCTTGAATGAGGGTTTTTCATCAAAGGTTGCCAGCAATGCATCTCATCAGCCTATAGCTTATGTCTCTGTGGAGGATTCTGAGTCTTAAAGTGAACAAAATTAAAGGCAAAACTTTAAAAATGTTCTTTCTATGAGTTAATGTAAAACTTAAAGTTGCATGTTGTGAAAAAAAAATCTAGATCTTAATAATGGCTTAGAGGACAGAAAGGGTTTTTTTCCCCCTTGTGTTCCCTCTCTCCCATTTGCCCTCTGTTCCTTTCAATTCTTTTCATTTAACAAATATTTGTTTAACTACTACATGCCAGACATGTACTGTTCAGTGTTCAGTACTGCCAAGACAGTGGGGGAACATACGGAGGTGGCTTCTTGCTCCCGTGGAGCTTTCAACTGACGGGCATGTCAGTCAACCAGTAGTCACTGCATAGTCACCGTAAGTGCTGGTAACATTCATACAGTAAATGCAAAGGACAGCCAATTAAAATATATATACTAGTCTGAGAACATTTGGAAGTATAGTACACTGTACAGTGATAAGGACCCCACCCAATTCACAGACTTGAATGACCTTCTGGTCTGTAGGATCCTCATGATGTCTGGACTCATGATTCCCTGTGGACTTGAGAGCCAGACAGACCAATCCATTCTGGCCCTTTTCAGAGCAATAACAAAAGGTAACTTATTTATGAAAATGTAGTTCCTTTGCTTTAGGTCTTAGACACCACTGCTGATAGATGCTATGGGTCATTCCAAGTGTTTGTCTATTTCCTTACTGCTCTCTGGAACTAAGAATTACAGATATAAATAACTTGTAAAGTACCATTAGCCCAAGAAAGTTACTGGTGTCCTTTTGATTGAAGTTTTTATTGCAGAAGTTACCGTAGAAGGATTTTGCCCCCACAGGCATTCTTTCATAGAATTAACAGTCAAAATAAAGGGGCAAGTATCCCATAGTCTCTACTATCATTTGCATATCTTACCGGTATTGATAATGTATAATCCTTATTTTGAATTCTAATATATAGGGTTAAGATTTCATATACAGCTCAAATATAGTCAATGCAACCAAAGTAGCATTGAAAGAAACTTATTGCTTAAGCTGCACACATTCTATAAATATGAATTTTCATATGCAGAAGGAAAAAAATGTAACTCGAATTATTTCTAATTTTAAATTGACTCCTCTAATTTTTATTTCTGAACCAGTTTCTAAAATATTTTTTTCAGTGCATAATAGTCTTGGTGCATACAAGTGGTAATTATTTATAGTTTCAATGCAAAGATTCCTTATATATTGTTTTTTAGCCCCTTTGACTCCTTAACACACATGATGGATAAGATACACTACCACTAGTAACAGTCGCCTGCCCTGAAAGCAATTTTAAACCCATTTCTCCTTCACTCTTGGGGTGATATATCAGGATTCCCTAGGAGGCGGCTCTGGAGAGTGCTTTTGTCATGCCTCCAACCGGGGGACTGATATTTGTTCTTCCTTCCTCCTTCCAACTACTTCCCATTAAAAAGTGATTAATAATGAAGATACACCAATTTTTAAGACTTGCCTTCTTCTAAATTAACACAATAATTTCTGAAGGATGTTTGAATAGTTCTCAGACAGTTAGTAGAATTTTAATGCTGGATGTTATAGTTCTGCTTTCTAAAGTCACTGGTCATCTCTTATAACAAGAAAATATTGGAAATCTGTGCTGTTTCTCTAGACCACACCTCCCTAGAAAACATCAGAGGGACCAAAAAAGCCACATTCATTTTCTTCTGTTGAAAATAATTTTAGGAAATACGAGGTTATCTGGATCATTTTAACTCTGTATGCTTACAGTAGAATTGATTGTACAATCATTTTTAATTTAATAATCTATTATTGCTTTCTCAAAAACAAGTAGTTGTTTTACACCAACTTTTACATTACACTATTTTAGGAATCAATGCCTTAGAATAAAAGGAAAGCAAAGCAAATGAGATTCAAAACAAAATAAAATTTTTATTTGCAGTGAACTTACTTTGATGAAGAGTTTCCCATAAAATCTCCCAGACTTCTTTTATCCTTCTATGTTGGATCTTCCTGTTATGAAACGAGAAAGTGCAAGTACCTGAGGTTGGCCAGCAGAGGGCGCTTTTACATTATAAAGAGAATGGAATTCACTGTTCCAGTGTGGAAGATTATAATGTAACTGTAGAGTGTGCCATATGTGAATATACAGTGCGCATGACTGTGAACGCATGTGTATATTTTGATTTATATATTCGTTCACGTGAAGATTTTAAAATTCCACCCCAGCTAATGAGCTTACCAACCTGCTTGTTTTCAGACTTTAATACCTTCTTTTTCATATTCCCCCATATGTTCCACTCCTTAGGTTTATCCGGTGACATTATGCTTTGGAATATATTGTGGATATATTTTGCATAGATCATGTTCTGTAGGAGGGGTTTAAAAATTGACCTTTATAAAACAGCCTCCTTCTCCCTGGCCCAA